GCACAATACAGGGATGTACCTGCAATCTCGACAAATCATGCACTTTCTGGTGGAGATGTTATAGGGTATCTCTTCAGAGGAAAGGGATCAGGAGAACTTCCATGTGCAACAGCATATGAATAATGGTGCACAGACTTGAAGTGTTGACCAGGCTTATCAACTGCAATAAATCCTTTGAACTTTGGGTCTTGGTTTGATCCTTCGTCTTCCGACTTGTGCTCCGTCCGGGAACCATCACAAAAATCAAATATCTTCACTTTTGTTTCCTCAGCCGCATCAAAATATTCGGCTGCCTTGTCAAACTCCTGGCAGCATTGATATACCAATCCGAGGTTAAACATATAGCTTCCCACTCGGTGGTCACTGATTTTCACTGCACGATGTAGGACAGCTTTGGACTTTTCCATCTCACCCAGCTCCATGTACAACACTCCAAGATTACTCAGCAGGTCTGCCACTGCTGGATGGTCTTTGCCTGATACTTTCTCTCTGATATGCAATGCAGATTGAAAGCACTCTTTTGCTTTCTCAAGCTGACCAGCAAACTTGTATGCCAGAGCAAGATTATTGTAAGAATCAGCAATTAGTCCATGATCTTCAAAGAAAAGTTTCTTGCGCATTTCTAGTGCATGTTCATGGTACTGTATTGCCTCCTCGTGGGAACAGATTTTACTATGCAGGATTCCAAGATTGCTCAATGAATCTGCAACATGAGGGTGCATTTCACCATAATTCTCTTCTCTCAAAACATGTGACCTTTGGAAAAAGTCCCTTGCAGTTGCCAGGTCACCCATCTCACTGTGCACAGATCCAAGATTGGAAAGGGAGGCAGCCACATCAGGATGCTGATGACCATAGAGAGCCTTTCTCATGTCAAGTGACTTCTGGAAATAATCTCTTGCTTCTTCAATCTTGCCACTATTGAAGAAAACATTTCCCAATTTATTGAAAGAATCTGCAATCTCAGGAGTTGGGCTTTGTGGGTTAAGCTTTTGAAGAATTTCCAGAGCACGCATATGGCAATCTTCAGCAAACCGATAATTTCCATTCTCATGATGAGCAAGACCTAGGTTGTTCAAGACAGTTGCAATAAAATTGACTTTGTTGGTATCGGCACCATCAAAGTCATTCTTTGCAATTTTAAGCGCATTGTGAAAATATGTTGTAGCTGCCGACAGGAAAAAATGTTTCCTGCAAATGTCACCAAAACTTAAGAAAGCAGGGCTTTGCAGTAAATTCCTCACATCTCTAGTTGCATTTCCCGTATCCAAGACATCTGTTAGGTCTTGAAACCCTGTGTTCCAGACAGTATAAGTAAGCCACATTAAATGAGGAGCCATCATTTGTGAAGAGATATGAAACTCCAAGTCAAAATGAAGTAGGTTGTGCTGGGCAGCAGTGGAAAGAGTTTCAATGTATGAAAGAATGATTGCAGCAATCTGCTCCTTACTGTAATTTTGGCAAAGGTATTCCCTGAAGACATCATGTACAACTTGGTGCATCTTGATGAGCCTTTTGGAACTATCATCTGGACAAAACTGCATCAGTAAGGAGCACTTGGAAATTTCAGCAGCAGTCACGTCTCCATCACAATCTGGGTCTTGCTTTGTTACAAAGCTGACAATGAGATCAATTTCAACAGGTGCTGGAGCGCCCATAGCCAAAAACTGAACCACATGTTCAAAGGTTTGGTTTTGCACCAGTCTTTTCAATGCCAGTGTGACAGCAGAGGTCATAGAAGAACGGTAGCTTTTGTTTGTCCTTTCATAAACAGTCTCTGTTGAGGTTCGCTTTTTCAAGGTTTCCAATTTCTTGAGGTAGTTCCCCCAGATTTTATCAGGATTCATTTGACTGCCCTCATTTGTGTAGCAAACATAGAGCGCAGCACAGGCAATGGCCAAGGGTTGATTATCCAAGGCATTCAGAACTAACTGCACAATTTGCTCTTCTTCAGCATTACAAGAAAACTGACAAATGCTTTGTAGAAGATTCATAGCATCCATGGGTTGCATTCCTTGACTCAGGGAGACATGTTGACACAGGGGATCGGCCACTGGTATGTTTGTGCTGTCCTGGGTAGTAACAAGAACATGTCCACAGCCTCCCCAATCTTCGTCAGGCAACCAATCTCTTATGTTTTCATCATGACACCTGCAATCTCTTGTGTTTTGCAGTTCATCAGCATTGTCAAAAATGAGCAGCCAACTGGAATAGCTTTGCACTTTGGCACCTATCAGCACTTTGAGATGAGAAATCTTCTCAAATGGCATCAACTTTGACTCTCCTCCTGTGATACTGTTTAGTGAGTATTCTGTAACACCAACTTTGCGGGCAAATTTGTAGTAAGAATCAAGCATAGCCTGTTCATCTTCAGCATTCAAGGTCATCACAAGTGTACAACTGTCAGGGTCACTTCTGGCAGATTCTCTTTCAAAGAACTGTATGCCAACCTCCCGAGCAATCTGACTTTTCCCACAACCTGGATTGCCTGAGACATAAACTGTAACAATGGACGCATCCTTATTGGTGTTTTGGAGGAATGTGAACTTTTGCATTATGTCTTCCACTTCCATTTTTCTCTGAACAACTTTGTGAGATGGTTCCAGTGGAAGTACCTTGAAGGACTTAGGTTTACCCTTTATCTCATCCTCCAAGACATGAACTTGCTCTTGAAGCATTTGAAGTTCCCCAGTGGGAAAACTACTTTGGTTAATTATTCTTTGCAGCTCTTTAGTGTCAAGATGCAGCGAGTTGAGTGCTTTCAAGACCCTGTTTGCATGTGCCTGAAAGTCTGCTTCCAAAATAACAGCTTCAGAGAGATGTGCAAAGACATTGTTGCGGAAAACTCGTAGATCATCAACACTTCCGGCAGTTGTTGGACTTAAAAGTTTTCCAAGTGAGTCAGAATAGAGAATTGCAAAGAAGAAACATGTACAATCCCATTCCTCTGTCTTTCCTTTCTGGATAATTCCCAAAACTCTTGAATTCTTCCTCCGACTTTTCTTTGACTCATTGTTAAAAAAGTCGAGCCCATTCTTTGCAGTGTCTTCCCATGCACCCAGTGTTTTGCCATGGCACCGATCCCATTCCTGTTTGAACAGTATCCTCAGACCTTCCCGGATAATGTTGGTGGTGATGTAACAAACACGGAAATAATTCAGTTCCTCTGGTGTATACTCTTTGCTGGCCATACTACAAATTGGACTACTGGGTGTACTGGGTGCTGTCAAGAGAAATCACGTTTGTGTGGTTAAACCTTGTAAAACTTACATCTTCCAGAAGAAACTATTTTTCTCTGCGAACAAAACCCAAATAAAATCAGCTGTGTAAATCTCATGAATTAAGCACCTTGTTACAGATATTTCTTGTTGAAATACAGTTGAACTCAAGGACTGCAAGACCTGTGAAAGT